CACTCCTGAATATCCAATCTGACAGACATATAATTAGTCTGTTTATCCCATATTAATAAGAGCAGAGTTTTAATAGTTAAATTGTGTTTTGCAGAGCTTTATGATGTGTACAAAGAGTTTCCAGTTGAAGATAGTATATTTACATTTCCTGGCAAGACAAGACCACCATGCATAACATGTGCAGTTGTTGGCACTGGTGGAGTGCTAAATGGTTCTAATATGGGCAGGGAAATTGACAGTCATGATATGGTGTTTAGGTATGTATAGTCACTACAGATGGAAAGTGATCTTTCTCTACATTTATACTTCATAATACATAATATGTAACAAAACAATATGTTTTCATGTGTCACTCGTTCATTATGGAGGCTGTATCAAAATTTTACAGGCTATGCTTTCTAAATGCACTCAAAATATACTAAACAGAGAATAACAGATAAAAATGAATGTGCATGAATGATTGCAAATGTTTCTCTGGAGTTGGATAGATTGTAAACATCAAATCTGCTACTATGTGTCCTTTTACCATAATAACCAATGGTAAATGGCTCTATTTTCGTGGGTGTTTGACACATTTTTTGTGCAAAAAGGAGTTTGGTGAACATATTTTTTATCAGAATTTTGTGAACAGCATAAAATAAAAGTCAAGAAAAATATGATAAGTTTTAATAGTAGCAAACTATCTCAATAATATTAAGCTATGTGTATAATATGACACGCACACAAGTTCTAATATCTGTAATTGTACAGTGTTGTAGCATATGGGTAAATATACCAGATGTTTAACACAAAATAATATATCATACATTGTTTTTTCAGAGTCAACAATGCTGTGAGGAAAGGATATGAGAAAGATGTTGGGGTCAAACTTACCCATTATGTGTTTTTTGACAGATCGTTAGCACGTACAAGTAAAGATAATTTACCAACAGACGAGGTAATAATTCATTCATCTAAACCCACTTATCTCAAGAACTATATGTCAGATTACAATGAAACTTAATGAATAGATTCTCCTGGACGATACAAACATCTAGTAATTAATTTACAGGGGGTAGGTTAAAATAATTAGCCAATCTTCAGTTTTTCAAAAACAAAGTATTGCATTTCAATAAAACTTACCGATAGTACATAGATGGCTCGGGACAATCTAAAGACCTCATTAGTTTTGGATTGAAATTCTGCAAACTAATAATAAAACAAGCAGCCTATCGGCTGAGATAGCTCCGCTGTTAGCAATGCACATTTCAATTAAAGAACTGAAGACATCATTAGAAAATGAACAATATGAATAGTATCAAAGCAATCGGACTTACAGTTTTTAACAAGAAGTCGAAAATATCACTTTTTACCAAAAATTACAAAAATATTCACCAAAATAAATTAATTAGAGAATTGAAGATATCATCACAAAACGAACAAATCTGAGAGAGGTCCACATGTAGTACCTATATATGTAATATCAAAGCAATCGGACTTACAGTTTTCAACAAGAAGTCGAAAATATCACTTTTTACCAAAAATGACAAAAATATTCACCAAAATTAGAGAATTGAAGATATCATCACAAAATGAACAAATCTGAGAGAGGTCCACATGTAGTACCTATATATGTAATATCAAAGCAATCGGACTTGCGGTTTTAACAAGAAGTCAAAAATATCACTTTT